TTTTTTTGGGCTGATAATGTATGAGCTTTTAACTTTGCACTGAATGATGTTCTCTCGTCTAATCGGCAATATGGGGGGGCAGCTGTTCCAGTGTAAATGTTTACTCAAGGATGTTCTTAAAGGTGTGCGCTCTCTACTATGCCTTGATGTTTGCCTACCTTACTGTGGTGTCGTGGAGTTTAAAAGACCCAGTTCTGATGCTGACTTAGGACTATTAATGAAAGTATTGCACCAGTGTTTTCATGTTCTAAAACTAAAGAATTTCGCTCTGCAGTTTGAAAAACTGTGGCCACAGCTGTGACTTGCAGCCCCCCTGCCACCCAGGACGGGCCCTGCACTTTGAATAGGCTTTCCATTTTGTTTTGAAGGTTCTCACGGTGAACCTTCTTGTTTACAGATTTTTTTGTTTGTTTTTTGAGAAAAAAAAAAATGTTTACTCTTCCATCATTTAAAAAAAATTTAAAAGAAAAAAAAAAAAAAAAATGGAGGATGATTTACAAGATGCTTTCTATCTCTGGGAAAAAGGAGCAGCATTTGGCCATGTTCTTTTGTTTTCTATTCCTGTCCTAAATCCAAGAGCATGGTTCTCAGGAAAACCAGTTCCCCAGTTAGGAAAAAAAAAATTTTAAAAATAAAAAAATAAAAAAAAAATCTCCTTGTAGTTTCTTATAGGAAAAAAACAGAAAACCCCAACTTTTAGCACTGATACTACATATTGCTCTGTTAAAGAATTTTCTCTGCCAAAAAAAAAAGAAAAAAACAAAAAAACAAATGCTTAAAGCTGGAGTTGACATTCTGCTTTCAGATGCTGTCTTTTTATTAGTGAGTGATGATGGTTTGCTAATAATTAATAGGTGATAATTTTTTGTAACCCCATCAAGTGGCTCTCTCTGTTTCTGCTCTCCTGTGACTGTGTTCATGTTGAACTGTTGTACCTTAAAGCCGAAATCAGTAACTATGCATACTGTAGCCAAGGTATTGGGCTTACAGAATTGTTCGTTGTATAAAGAAAATTTTAAATGTTGTTGCAAACTAACGAGTTACACCATTTTTAAACCTATTTTCCTCCTCGCCCCCTTTTTTTGCCCACAAATGGTATTATAATGCTTGCTTAGTCAAAGAAGACGGGCCAAACAAGGGTAAACATTTTAACAGCGCAGAATTCGCCATCATTTCATTGCCTTGATCTAACTGTTTGTGTCCTGAGATGCAAAAGAAGTCAGTGGCTTTTAACTGTTTACAAATAGAATGTGATTGTAAAATGTACAGTTTGGTTGTGTTTGAATTATGAAATCCCTCTCGATATAATAAACCATGACTTTTTGGCTGCTCAACATTAATTGTCTCTTTTTTGTGAATTTCTTTGTACGCTCTTTTTTACAATGAACGTTTCAATGTTGCTGTGTATGAGGGTCCTCATAGAGCAACCGAGTACAAATCTAAGCAAATATTTGAACATTCTATCCGAACTTCTCCACAATTTCACCCTGAAATAATGTGAGAACAATGGGAAACTGTAGCTTGCTCCTTCCTACCCTCTCTGAGCATCTTTGGGATCTTGTTGCTCAAAGCTCTCCTGTGACTTCATCTTCCCCACCATTTGTGCCCATCTCAAGCCTCAGCAAGAGACCATTTGGAACATGAAGCTTAATGACTTGCCAGTGTTCTAGTGTTAAACTCTCATACCTCTGTTACAAAATAAGAAAATGCCACAACCTGGACTGGCCTTTTTCTCCCCCCTTCACGGCCCTCTCCTGACCGTGGGAGCTCTGGGGCAAAACCTGTGTGTGTATCCCAGTGTATGACTTCAGATCCTGCTCCGGCTTGCCAGGTGTGAGCTAATGTTGGACACCTTCCTATAAGCAACTGTTGTTCAATGCATTCAATGTATATTGACTTCCATACTGGTTTTTCCAAAAACCAAAGGTAGCTTCGAAAAACCACGTTTGGAAATGTTTGGAACGTTAAGCTGATTGACCTTTTGGGGCTTTGAGTAGTATATAATTGAATTCATAACTGCGTTAATTGTATTGTTAAAGTGTTTGGGAGTTTTTTGCGCTTGTTATGTGGAAATAAAGTGTTTGATTTAAAAAATTAAAAAGTGGTTTTCATTTTTGCCTAATCCTTAAATCATTACAGCTCTATTCCCTAAGTGGCCATATGACTCCTAAGTCCACCATAACCTCTCTCAGCTGCTCGGGCCTTAGTCCCCGCCATTCTTCTGGAGTCGATGTTCCCCTAGCCAGATGTCCTCGAGTCACCGGCCACCTGCAGGAGGCGGTCTAGACACTTCCACACATCCAGTTGTGCATTATTCCCAAGTTCAGCTCACAGCAGCCACATGGCTTCTGCAACCCTAGATGCGTGGTGGGCTCTGGGCATTGGACCGTGAGAGAACCTGCACCTGCGGTCCAGCCGTCTGACAGGGAAAGACAGACTTCAGGTGACCCTGGGACCTGAGCAGTCCATAGGCTGAACCCAGCTCATGGACCCCCATTACATTACCCCATCACCAAACCACCCTGGTTTCCACTGACTTCCTAGGTTTTATTTTTTAAGGATTTTATTTATTTATTTGACAGATCACAGGTAGGCAGAGAGACAGGCAGAGGGAGAGGAGGAAGCAGGCTCCCCGCTGAGCATAGATTCCAATGATCCCAGGACCCTGAGATCATGACCTGAGCCGAAGGCAGAGGCTTAACCCACTGAGCCACCCACTTCCTAGGTTTTAAAACCAACTTTTCCAATTAATTTCTTGGAGAAGGAAAATTGGCCATGTTGTTGCCATGTGGAAAATCAGTGTCACTTGCCATACACAAACAGGAGCTATCAAAAACTCAGGGACATAAGAATTTCCTCAGTTCTGGTGTATTCAGTCCAATTTGGTTAAAAGTTAAAGGGGGAAATCAGAAAGTTGGGGAGAGAGAGAGAGACATCTGGCCCAACACAGCCAACTCATGGCCTGGGCAAAGCATTATTTGCACGTGATGCAGCTGTTACTTCCTTTGACTAAAAATCTCTCAGGTTGTCCTCACCCCGGGGGTCATTCCTCTGCACTCAGAACCCCTGCATCCCCTGCCCCACTCTGCTGCCCCCCACCAGCTCAGTGCCCCGGGCCCTGCTGGCTTCCTGTTCATCCTGCAGCACTTCTGACCCTTGCTGCCCTGTAGACTTCTGGCGGGCCCATTGGTGAGGGCGGGCTGCTCCTCTCCCAGCCCTTCATATGCCTCACAAGGGGCCTGGGGACCTCCTCCTCCTCTGGTCACAGCCTTTGGGAGCAGCCCCTCCGTGCAAGACTTGCTGAGGCAAACGGAATCGGTCCATATTCAGGGACGGGAGAGACGCAGTTCCCCTGTCGCGCAAGGCCCAGCCCAAGCTCCTGCTCTGAAACGCCAAGTGGAGTGTCAGGTGGGGCAGGGAGGGGAGAGTTGGTAGGAGCCCGGGGAAGGAAACTGGGTCTGAGCCATCCTCCTGTCCTAGAAAGGCAGCCGGCTGGGTGGTGTGTGTGAATGGTGGTAGGGAAAGAGGTTGAACCAGAAAGAGGCTTGCAGAAAGAGACCCGATAGACCCTGGGAGAGCACAGCCAGGTGAGCACGGGCAGGGGAGGGGAGTGCAAGTTGCCCGCAGGAGCCAGGCTTGGAAGAGGCAGGGAACAGGGTTTCTGGACATCAGAAGCATAGGGAGGGTAGACGGGAAGTTCCAAATCCAGATTGAGAGTGGGGTTTCAGAATAAACAAGACGGACTCTGAGATGGTTAATTTTATGCCTCAGCTTGACCAGGGCATGGCCAAGTACTGGTCTGGAGGTTTCTGCGAGGATGTTTTGGATGAGATTGATGTTTAAATCAGTAAACTTTGAGTAGAGCGGATTGTCCTTCATGTGGGTAGGCCTCATCCAATCAGCTGAAGGCTTGGCTAGAACAAAAAAGCTGATCTCCCCTGAGCAAGAGGGAATTGAGCAGCAGACAGCCTTTGGACTCGAACTGCATCATCTTCCCGGGGCTCCAGCATCCTGGACTACCGTGCAGGTCTGGACTTACCAGCATTTATAATCATGTGAGCCCATACCTTAAAATAGATCTGTTTCTCTCTACATACACACATCCTGTTGTTCCTGATTTTCTGGAGAACCTTGATGAATGAATTCCAGAGTGAGACTGTTCTCAGAAAGCCACAGAGCATGTGGAAGCTGGGTCAGAGCTGCTGCTGAGTTACTGGTTGTGGAATAGTTAGGAAAACAGTGCTTAGCAAAACCGAAACAGGTTCAAGTGTCTGTCTCCAGTGGGTTGTGGTTTCCGGAAAAGTTGGATTGTGTTTTTGTCTCTATTGATCTGCCCCCACTCCAAGAGCATTTACTACTACTACTACTACTACTACTACTACTACTATTTCCTCCCCGTCCTCCTCCCCCTCTCCTCCCCCTCCCCCTTCTTCTTCTTCTTCTTCTTTTTTAAGACTTATTTATTTGAGAGAGAGAGAGAGAAAGAGAGCACAAGCAGGAGGGGCAGAGGGAGAAGGAGAGAGAATCTCAAGCAGACTGCACAGAGCACAGAGGCCGACCTGAGGCTCAACCTCACAACACCGAGATCATGACCTGAGCTGAAACCAAGACTTGGACACTTAACCAACTGTGCCCCCCACGCGCCCCCCATTGGACATTTAAAAAATATATTTTATTTATTTATCAGAGAGAGAATGAGAGTGTGCACAAGCAGGGGGAGCTGCAGGCAGGGGGAGAAGTGGGCTCCCTGCTGAGCAGGGAGCCTGACATGGGATTCAATCCCAGGACCTGGGATCATGACCTGAGCTGAAGGCAGACACTTAGTTCAACCAACTGAGCCACCCAGGTGTCCCCTCACTGGACAATTTTTTTTTAAAGAT